TGTGATCCAGTTATTTATACCAAAAGATCATCAAGTTAAAAGAATCAGTGACCAGTATTTATTAAAGTGAACTTTTCCAAACTGCGTGGGAGCAATTGATGGGAAATACGTTAGAATAAGGGCTCCCATCAATAGTGGATCATTATATAACAACCACACGGAGTATCATCCAATGGTATTGCCAGCACCTAGCAGTCGTCGATGCGAATTGTAAATTTATTGCCATTAATGTTGGTTCTTATGGAAGAGAAGGAGATTCTGGTATTTATTTAAAAAGCAAATAGGGCAAAATATAAGAAATCAAACATTTAATATACCAGAACCGAAGGCCCTACCTGGAACAAATGATGTGATACCACATGTATTAGTGGGAGACGAAGCTTTTGCTCTCCACGAAAACTTGATGAAAACCCTATCCAAGACAGCAATCAATCCATGATTTATCAAAAGCCGTATATAATTACCGATTATCACGAGCTCGAAGACCTACAGAAAATAATTTGGAATTTTATACGTTTACTGCAGATTATTTTTCGTATATATTACTACTGCCCCAACTGTGACAGACAAACTAGTAGTGAGAGCTTGTATTTTATACAACACATTACGGGAAGCAAAAGTTGTGGCACCTGGTCAACAACATGTTGATGTCCCACTTTCCTTACCTACTGAAAATTTAATATCTCTGGCAAATCGCAATGTTCGAGCCCAAATGAATCCTATACAAATACAGGAAACATTGAAAAATTACTTCAATGGACCAGAGGCTATTGATTGGCAACATAATTATGCGACATAACATTAGGCTGTTCATAAAGTATTAAGATAAATGTAGCTAATTAATTAAGTATAACATACTTACTGTAATATGAGATGAAAATAGATAAAAAAACCTTACTAACCTGTTTTATCTAAAATTTCTCCAATTTCACGCCACCAATTCTGTTTCAATTGAGTTTTTCTGTACGTACGAAATCTATTAAAATTTCGTCGTCCTCACTGCTCCAAAAACTTTTTTGTTCTTAGTCTGGTCAAAACAATACAATATTTTTAAAAAAAGGCTTCATCGCCTTCGAGAAAAACGTTTACGAAACCATCAGTCGCCATCAAGACGGCCGTCATGCAAATGACGGCACCGCTTTTTGACGTTGGGGTGTCAAATACCGCTCTCTAGGAAACCGCGCCATTTTGTTTACATAGACAACGTTCTAGTGACGTCATTCATCGCTACATTATTATAATATACACATTACATGATATATATATGACGGCACTGCTATCCTAGGAAACCTAAACTTTAGGCGCAACGACATTTAGTAGTAGTAAATTTAAATCTCTTTGCTTAGGCGCATGAGTTTTCTCATCATTGATAAGATTCTTATAATTATTTCCATTAGTTATAGTATATCAAGGACTCTTGTAAGTATTATTGCTATTTTAGTAATTCAGGCGTTAGAAAAATTACGAATGATCTTATGTTTTTTAAACATTAATAATTTCGACTTAATCTGTCCAGGCTTGATTGTACCGAAAGGTTCTTTTTTCCCCCAGACCCCAACAAAGAGTATAGTAATACTTAGAAGGAACACCTCAGAACCATAGATAAAAGTGCTCAGAACTTAGAATATAGATAAGCAAGGTAGGATAGACCGCGCGTATCACTCATTGTCCCATAGATTTAGTTTATACTAAATAAATCTATGCATTGTCCAATATGCCAAGCGTAACCAGATGTTCCATACATAGAGTGGTTGATAGTGATACGCCGAAATTGATGTCGATGCGTTATTAATTATTATAAATATTAAGTTTATTTTATAGTACCTAAATTAGTTAGTATAAGGATTAATATTCTAATTTATGTTTATTTATAAGCCAAGCCGTTATGGTGTAAGAGGTAATGCACTCCATTTTATAAAATCCTATTTAACAGATAGGACACAAAAAACCGTAATCAGTCAGATCTGTATCTCTACAAGACAAGAAAAAATATATACGTCTAGTAATAGAACGATAAAGCGTGGCTTTCCACAGGGAAGTGTTTTGGGTCCTTTGCTCTTTATAATATATATCAATGATATCTTCGACTCTTGTAAATACCCAATGATACTATTTGCAGGCGATAGCACTATTTTTGTACAGTGTGACAGTGTAGCAGAATATCAAAATAATATTAAACTTGCTATTGAAAACATTATTAAGTAAATCAAATAATCTCAAAGTTAATCTAGAAAAAACAAAAATTATGCAATTTACACAAAGAAAAAGTACTCCAAATCTAATAATAAATTATGGAAATAAAACAATTTCTGAAACAAAAGTAGCGAAATTCCTAGGGCTGTTTATACATAGATAGCAACATGTCATGGGAATCGTATTCAATAGAAGTTTGCAAAAGAATGTATAAATTTTCATTTGCACTATATAAACTGTTGAAAATAGCTGACCGAAAAACTGTTGTTTTTGCCTTGGTTCATATTAGTTTGTAAAGTGTAATACCGGAACTTTTTAATATAGGAGTACAACCATCTTTACCCTCAAATTCAGACGAATGTATGCAAAACTGCCCTTATAAAAAAAGTGTTGTTGAAATGGCCCCTAAATTATATAATAAATTACCTGATCACATAAAATGTTATAATGTGCAAAAATTGAAATCTATTTTAAGTAAATTTCTTATAGATAAATGTTATTATAATGTCAATGAATTTCTATTTACTAAAAATTTAGATATGTAATGTAATAATTTTATTTTGACTCCAATTAATTTCATTACTTTGATTAATATATATTATATATATATATATATATATATATATATATATATATATTTTTTTATGATGTATGGATATATAAATTCGTATGCTGTTGAAGCAGTTCACGGAGGTACTATAAAATTATAACATTGTCAACCTTGTTACCTGTGAAAACGAATAAAATGATTGATTGATTGATTGATTTATGTATCTTTGCATATGTCCCGTTCCTACTGTCGGATTTTGCTATATATTATTTATTCATCTAACTTACACATACTTTCTTACTGTGTAGTAATGTACGTGTATCATGTACTGAAATGTAAAAAAATTTGGGTTGACAATAGGTCTACGCTAGTACCTACTTCTTATTAGTTTGTGCATAGGTCTGAATAATTAGTCATTGAAGTAGCGATGGGTCAACTCTAGTTACTAACTCGGGTTAACTCGAGTTGCGCTTAACTCGATTTGGATCTCTCTAACTCGAGTTTGGGCTGGCTGTATATGAACGATTTAAAACGAGCGAGCGAAAGGTAAACGCGTGATTAGTTTTTTGTGTGCATAGATAGTCTTTTTTAGGATATTATTTTTTCGCTGAAAATACTAACTTATTTATAGATACGTTAACTTACAACAAGTTATGATTAGTTATTTGAGAATAGTTGTGTTGAAAATACATAAGAGTATGTTAACTTATAAGAAATTATATTTCGTTACATAATATATAATATACAATATTGAAAAAAAAAACGGTAATTTTATACTATCGCGGTCCCCTCATTTTTTGACTCTAGAAAATCGAAAATCATCCGATTTAGATGATTTATTTTGAATCTTCGTCATTATGGCGGATTTATGGAAAAATATGGAAAATATCTCACCTCAAGATTTCATATAGTGATATACGCACTTCTTTGAATATAATCGTTCATAACTTTTTTTAAATAATCAAATGAAGTTGTTATATTTTTTTCATAATCTACACAAAAAAATTGAATATTTAAAAAATACATTGAAAAATGCTTATTCATTAATTTTATCACACTTAAAGTTTTTATATATAGTTTTCTGACTTTAAATGTTATCATAAATGCTCCAGAAAATCTAAATAATTATAAAGGTTAATATTTTGGTGTTTTATGGAGTATAAGATCGCACGAAGCGAGCTCGGGACTTAGGGCATCCTGACTCTTTTTATTAATTTTTAGGGTAATTATATATATAATAAAATATATATATACGATAAAAACCAAAATAAAAAATTAATGAACAAACATTTTCCAATGTTTCTTTTTTTTAATGTTCGTTTTTGTGTAGAATATGCAAAAAAACAACGGCATTTTTTTGTTTAAAAAATAGTTATCAACAATTATACATGAATAGAATAAGTTTTCATTTTTTTATTCTTGTAATTATTTTTGTAAATCCGCCGTAATAATGAAGATTTAAAAAAAACCATCGAAAGCGGATGATTTTTCGATTTTCTAGAGCCAAAAAACGAGAGGAGCGCGATAGTATAAAATTACCAAAAAAACTATAATAAATAAAATAAAAGTACTTCTTAAATTAAATACTTACATTTGAAAATTATTTTGGATTCTTAATTATTTATAATACCCACTTGCGTTAAACTAGTTACAATGCGATTTCTCTATATTTTTAAATATTTTTCTAAGTGACAGTGTGAAAACATTAAAATAAAAAGTACCTGCAAAGACTGATTAACACTACGTTTTAGGATGGTTTTAGATAACGTCAAAGAGTAACGTAGTGGTTATATACTCTTTGATAGTAATGCTCTATGGTCTCCGTCGGTAAAGTAGCATTACTGAAAGTCAATAAATCGTTTTTACGATTTTATCAAATTACAATTTAACAAGAAACGTCTGTTCAGATACTTGTTTAATTTTAAATTTCTATTTAGACATTATATTTCTTTAAAGCCCTTAGTTATTTACATTTATTTGTCTTTAAATCTGTAGGCCGTCGAAAAGCGCCGCCCCCGCTCTACATCGTACATCGGTAGAGCTGTTTGTCGTGCGATGAGTAATACCGTTTCTCGTGCTGAGTGACGTCGAGCAGCGATAGCCGGCATACAGCTCACACTTCGCAGACCTCAGTACGTCACGACGAGGAGGCACGGCAAGACCCCCTCCGTAAATACACCCTATTCGCGCTCCTACCGCACCCACTATCGATCTTTGGCTCTAGTCTTATTACGTTTTAATATATTTTCAATTCACTATGGATGCCGCCGATTCCCTACTCGGAGGCTTCGCGAGTGGCGACATTGTTCCGGCAGCCGAGGTTGTGCCAGCCCTGAAACGAGAACAAGACTCCACCGACGATTTTGAACATTTGGATCGCGAAAGTAAGCGCGACGAAGCTGGCGAATCACCGACCCATCAGCACGGTGCGGCGCGGACCGCGACACAGAGCTTCCTCGATATGGAGCGCGATGATCTGTTCGTGGACACGCCTCGGGCTCCATCAGTCACAGATAAACAGGCTGACCATTTCGCCGACAAATTCACCGACAGCGAGTCTGAAGCTGATACAGCTGGAGAGTCGCCGCTGCACCGACCTAGCCCGCCTCAGCAGAAGTCCGATGCACCTCTCGAACCTTCGATAATAATTCCTCAACCGGTGCACGATCCCACGCCGGTTCTAGCATCTACCCCTGCATCCACAGCGACCCCTCCGCCGACACCGGCACCTGTACCATCGCCGAGCCCTGTACCATCAGCGCCTGAGGCCAAAGTAGAGACTCGGTCGGAGATAAAACTCGAAACATCGACGGCCCCCAAGGATATGTTGCATCCAGCACCTGCAACCGAGTCGAAGCCGCTGCAAAAGCCGACACCCCCACCCAAGTCCGCGCTGACAGAGCCAGAGCCCAAGCCCGAAGTAAAGTCGGAACCTGTGAAAGCGCCTACTGCACATGTCATCGAAGCCGAAGTCATCTTCTGCCAGATGGGGCTGGGTAAGCATAATTTGTCGGTAATTTCTTAAAACATGCGAATAATTTAAGTAGAATATGTAATATTTAGAAGACTACATTTACAACGATTGTTCCTAATTAATAACAATGCAAAATATTCGAAATTTTATTTGAGCATATGCAAGTGCATGAAGGTCGCCCTCTATTTGTGTCGGCGTGACTTCATCGCCACTGGAACTCATTCGGTTTCGTGCGACCTGCCTTAAGTTTGGTTTCATAAAGCTTCAAATTTAACAAATAAAAGTTATAGGTGCTAAAAAAATTCTTAGGCACCCTCTTCAAGCAACGTAAGCTGGTGATCGTATCATATTATTAATAATTCCTTGCTTTGTTGCAACTGGTCTCGACACCCTGTTATTTTTGAGTTGTCGATAAGCATATTAGTTTAAATTATAATTGCAGTTGTTCGTTTGATATTGACTCTTAACAATGTGCCACGGCTACAAAAGATCTAGAAATATTCGTGGTTCTAGATTCATAACGACTAGTTCGTGGTGTGAGGGGTTGCGGGGCGGGGCCGCGGGGTAAGTTGGCAGGGCTGCCGCAAAGGTGGCGGAGCGGCAAGAGCGTTGACCGTCTGGTAACGGGCCGCCAGCCGCCAGCCTCTCACCGCGCACTGAAGCAGAGGATGCCCGAAAAGCGAACCTATCGCCCAAAACAAAGAAATCGGCAGACTGAAACGAATCTTGCATTGTCTCTTTTTAACGGTCAAATCCTGTTAGAGAAAGTTGTGTTTTTTTTTTAAATATTTACTAAACGATATTAATCAAAGGAGCGACTCCTAAATTCAAATTCATGGTTTCAATACCCAATTTTAATAACCAGATTAATATAGACCGTGTTGTGCAGAAATGATAGAGCCCACAAAATCTTAAGATATTCGATTTGAGGGATAAGTGCATTATCTTGTGCCAAAAGACCTATTCTTTCCTATTATGATAATATGTATAGTATCATTTTAAAGAAAATGTTGATGAACGAACGAGAACGAGTTTGGTATTACTTGTTATTTTCCAGAAGTCTCTCATACTTGGAGATAAACTGAACAAGGAGCCTTTGGATCATTGTTTTGGCCAGTTTGTGGGTTGGATTATTTCTGCGGAACATGGTCCAAATAATACGTTTTTACATATTTTATTTTATTACGTACGTTTTTAATAGCAAACAACTTGTTTTTTTCAACGTCATTTTGTTTATTTCAAAATTTTATATGAAATACTAACTGTACAGCAAAATAAAATCATTAACTTCCTCTAACCGATCGTGAGTCATCGATATCAACCCACGTTCACCGACATTAGTCGCATGGAATAATTAACCACTCCCGGCCCATCACGTATGTAGGTACTGCATTATCGCACTCTTATCATGATTTTATATTAGTTGTGGTTTCCCGCAGCCGGTTCTTCAGTTTCGCAGACTTACTTACTTTCGTTTCGTTATCTTATCCGAGATCACTCCGCTCTCGGAAACAGCCATGTGTGAATTTAACTACTATTGTTAATTTCCACAAACTGTAAATATTAGCTTCAGTAATAAAAATTATCGAAAAGCAAATACTAAGTTACATCAATGTCAATTCTGAAAGACTGAAAATCGTTTCATTATTTCATTAAAGTATTTGAAGTAGGAGCCATTAAGAATATTGAATAGAAAAAAAGCCAGTGGTAGAGTCGGGACGGGCGGTGAAGTTGAACGGTGACGTACAGCGGTGCGATGGCACCGCGGCTAATTTTAGAGTCGGTTCGGAAGCGGCTCGCTCACAAGTCGCGACTCCTCTGCCGCGAGCTCACGTCCTGCTCCCGAAATTCTAGTGCCTTCGGGGACCGTAGGAACCGCGCTGTGAAATATATAACTGATAGTGTTTTATTGTGAACACATTACAATGGTATCCGGAAACGATGACGCTTTGACACGTAAGTCGTAGGCTTAATGTCGGCAGGTTATTTAACTGTTGATCACTATCCAGCGTTGCTTAGTTGGAAGTTGGTTGGTAAAAGAGTTCCATTGACGTGCACCATGACTCGATCGGTATGAAGTCATCCACCTATAATTAATCCATCGTCACTCGGTTCCAGAGTCCGATTTTTAGTGTACCTTTATCAGAAATAGATAAAAGATACCGGCTTCATCCCAGTTAATTTAAAGCATGTCGACAGTGGTTGGTTCAAGGAATCAGTACGACATTTCTGTTGCATTCCGCATATTTACAAAGTTGATATTTTTACACACGAACGGATCTGTTCGTCCCGTGTGACCTCTGCACCGCAGAATTTAGGATTTATGGTATTTGTAAGCTGTTCGTTAACAGCTATGTTGGAATTTTCTGCTGAAAGGAACAATTTTTAACCTGCAATATAGACATTACCATTACGGTTCAATAGCACTGTTAGATTTTATTCTCTCCTACTAGATCATTATGATTTTGCAATAATCCTATCAAAAAGGAATTATTTGCCACTCCATCATGGCAGACAGTGTGGGTAGGACCACGCTCTCACAGAATACGAGCGTAAAATAGCAGCGTAATGCTGCTGTGTATCGTATGGTGAGTGTAGAGAACCGGAGACCCTTTTACTGGAATCGAGGCATTCCATCTTAGTCCTCAGGGGTGACAACGCATTTGCATTTTGATTCTTAATTGAGGATAAATGTGGATGTCTATGGGCCACAACATCCACTTAACATCAGGTGGACTGTGTGCTCGTTTGTCACCGGATGCTATAAAAAAATTAACTAAGCAAAGTATTTTTTCGTATTGTTCATCTAAAAATAATTATAATTTTGTGTTATTTTTCGCTGTCGCGATTATTTGGAGTAATGACCTAATTTACACGTTTTCTTTTACAAAAGTCACCGATCGCTGACACTAGCCCTTTGTTGATTCCCCTCACTCGAGCGGCGTCATTTCAACGTTGCCCCACTTAGCCTATTGACACAGGAATAAAGGTGACTCTATGAGTATAAGTTATTAAGTTATTAGTCTTGGATGGAAATTTCGCATTCTCGTGTAAATGGTTTACTCATGGTGCTTACTTGCCGTTGTGTAACGTCACATTTTGGAGAAATTATCATAAATACTATTTAAACGAACGACTCTGACTTCAAATTGATGGTTTAAATACTGAATACATATCGGTTATTAAAATGGGCCCTGTTCTTCATAAATTATCCAACCCACATAGTAATATTGTATTAGTAATAATTTAGAAGCTATTGTTTTTTCTTGTGCCAGAAGCCCTTTTATATAATGTTATGTATTATTATTGCAACGGGCTGGCCATATAGCTAAAAAAACCGACAACCGATGGGGAAGAAAGGTTCTCGCATGGCAGCCTCAGACCGGTAGACGAAGTATAGGGCGTCCCCCTACTAGATGGAGTGATGACCTAGTAGGACATGTAGGACGACGATGGATGCAGGTGGCTCAGGACCGCTTTATTTATTTAGCTTTGTGGCATTCCATGGGGGAGGCCTATGTTCAGCAGTGGACTTGTGAAGGGCTGTAGTGATGATGATGATGGTGTATATTATTTCAAAGAAAACCTAATGTAGATTTTGGGTTAATTGTTATTTTTTAAAAGTGTCTCATACTTTGAAACAATCAGAAAAAAAAAGCCTCTGGATCATTATTTTGGCGTTTGTGGGGATCATGTCTGCACATGGTCCAAATAATAGGTTTTTACATAATCATGATAAAAATAGTGTCTGTATGTTAATTTTTATTTATTGTTAGTAATTTAGCTATTGGGCTTCCAATGTGTTACAACATCTACAGACTTTCAGCTAAATTTTTGTGTCTGGCCGGAGAAATAAAGGCTTACAGAAAGACATTATAAGTTAAGCAATCAATTAATTGGAATCAAATTTATAGCGGCGTGGAAACTTACTACTGCACGCGTTTTGATATTGTAGATAACTAATATGTTATGCAACATATTTGTACAATATATTCTATATATAGCCTTATTTTATATATAACTATGTACTATGAAAGTAAAGTATAGTTTTTAGTTCCGTGTACGTAAACAGCGTTATCCAAGTTATTATTTCTCTGAAAATAGCAAACTTCCGATTTAAAATTTTGCTCAGTAAATATTAAGTCTGAGGACAAAGTCAACAATCGATTCTAAAAATTTACCATTGATTACTACGCAAATGGATAAATAAGAAAAATATTCTAGAAGAAGAATGAAGAAAATTGAAGAACTGAGAGTAATTATAGAGCTGTTTTTAAGTGATCCGTCCCAGTTTTACTTGGGTAGATCTATTAACTTGGCGTCATTTAGATTTTAAATTTTTTTCAAAAATATGTCGAACTTTTCAGATATAGCTTATATTTACACTGCTATCTATCTCTTTGTGAAATTTCATTACGATTAGTTCAGTTATAACGAAATTTGCCCCGGTCAGACAGACGGACAAAATATTAAAAATGGTTATTGATGTTTTAACGGCTTGCATATACCCCTCCCCCGTTCCACTCAACTCAATATAGGGCAGTTATTTCGATATTACTTCAATTTTATTTTATGTCAATGTATTATAGATATATCAATATAATGTAACATTTTGTTTATCCGACATTAATAGTCGATATGTCATGGCCAAGTGATTGCTCAGGGCACTATGTACTCGTACAATGCCCGGGCAATATGAATAATGGCAAGTCAAATCGGGCGACGTAGTTAACAGTGATTTTGACCTCATTTTTTATCACATGGTCTAGTCGTAACCAAACCTTACCTACATTTTTATAACTGCCCAATAAGTAACAAACTTTAAAGCCCGGTTAATTTAATAATTTCAATAGTTTTTAATTTTTATCATATTACCTACTCATATTAAGTAGGAATTTTTCAAACTCTGGACATTCTAATTAAAGCATTTGGTCCATACATATATGGTTTGCTTCCGTCCATTGTTGCTGGATTTTCCGGAAAAAACTCAGACATTGAGTCGTAACTCGCAAGGGAGCGAGTTACGACTCAATGTCTGAGTATGCGTAGCAGGCTCGGCAGGCGAGATCGATCGTGGCACCAGACCGGCCCGCCGTCTGCTCTGATAGCGTGACGCACCCTTATATGGCTTATGCCAATTTAATGCAGACCCAACTGCGAATGGTTGATTTTCGACTACTTTCTAAACCGTAGTTTTGCCTGATAACGTAAAGTCGGTAAATGTACTATATATATTTATACGTGGTAGGCTCTACCACGTATAAATACACTGCAGCTATTTTGACGACTCGGTCGGCTTCACTAGAGAAGGACCACGCTTTCAAAATACCACCGTTAAATAGCAGCTTAATGCTACTGTATTTCTTATGGTGAATGTAGCGAATTGGAGACCCATTTTACTGGAAACGAGGAATTCCATCTTAGTCTTCAGAGGTGACAAACGCATCTGCATTTTGATTTTAATGAGCCCCAGCACCCTCTTACCGCCAGGTGGAGTGTATATTCGTTTGCCACCCTACTTCTATAAAAAAAATATATAATTGCATTGCATTTATTGAAAATTTTGCTTTTGTGTCTTCCAATATTCTTGCTATTCAAGATTTAATCGTTCTGGTTAAAGAAAAAGTTTTAAGACTGTACCAATAAAAGAAAGTTATCTGAGTTTAATGCATTAATGCTCCGTTAAAACAAAAAACTAATTACTTGAACAAACTTGTAAAGATAACTTATCAAAATGACTACAGAGATGACTCTGTGACGGTCTGCTCTTCTCTATGTACATCACTATGCGAACAAGTCTGCATGCGTAGGTAATAGTCGCAGTAGGGGTCGCAAGGTGACTCATGGGGAATTTTGTTCACCCTCTTTACATCGGCTAGGGGTGCTTCCGTAACCACATAAATTAGTCATGTTACGGTTATGGCCATGAAAGACATTTCTAACACATACTCTGACTCTGATTACAATAAGTAATTCAAAGATTTATTATTCTATCTCCAAAAACTATATATATTAAAAATAACGGTAAAGCCTTTGGCCAATAACTGTGCTTTTTTGTTGAAGCACATTAATTTGGTGTAAGGTGACAAAAGTAATTTTAGCACTATATGTGGCAATGATTAAGTACAAGACGGTCCTATGTAATAGAGGTGTTACATTGTGGGTTTTCTATTTTAACGTAACCTACGTTATACGGGATAACGTTTGACCAGCAACTTAAGTAATATTGGTAAATCGTCCAAAAATGTGTTCGAGGTGTCTCATTATTGGAAAGATCAATATTCAACTGTAAAAAGGTCATAAAGTCGAAGTACATAATTTGAGACAACTCGGCAACCATGTACGAAAATCGACCTGACATATTTGCAGGTTCATTTCTTATGCATTTTGCTTACAGGAGTATTTCTCAAAAATTGTCTCTTCTTTCTCGTGTAGTTATTTTTAAGAACTACTTAATTTTGAATACTTCTCGAAAACTGCCGCCGTAACCGTAGTGTACCATGGGGCCATACCATAATAATGCCGTAACGTGCCATGGGCATGGCATATTAGATCTCCTATGCTCTGTAAAGTAATGACTTATTTCTTCGCGATTATTTATCTGCTTATAGAAGGAATAGACTTCTGTTAATAGACTGTTTCATTTTGTCACAGTCACAGAAATAATATTCACTGAAGGTCATTTTTATGTTTAATTGGTACATAAAATAGTTATCGTACAATTACAAATCACACCGGAAATACCTTGGTAGTGATCACCTCACTCACTTATCTATGTAGATATTCCTTAATGTATGTCCTTCCGTGTGTATATTCATGCATGTTACCTCCTGTGTTGTGATCGGAAGCAAGGCTCGATTCGAGTCGAGTCGAGGGCTACGTCAGCGTGCAGGTGGGCTGATGTCACCAAGCCGCCGGTGCTATATTTAACTTGGCAACTCGTCACCACGTACATGACGTTCTTACAGCTTTGTTGCATCGTTTGCCCAGAGTTTTTTGCAACACGCACAGTTCATGCTGTAGGAAACAGATTGACACCTTGCTACTCCACTTGACCTAAAAAAGGGGTCACAACAGACTTTTAAATCGATTATATTACTTCACGAGACTATTAAAAATCTGCAGAAAAAGCTTATGCTTTATTACCGACTTCAAAAAGGAGGGGGACATTCAATTCGACTGTGTTTATATGTGTGTTACCTTCGAAATTCGTTTTGAGTTAAACGATTTGGATGATTCTGTTTTAATTTGAACGCTGGTCTCGTGTGGACCATATAAATTTGATTAAGATCTGACTAGTAGTTTTTGAGTTATTCTTAAATCATGTCTATTTAATTGACTTCGAATATATTGATTTAGTCGTATTGAAGAAAATTTTTAATTTCACCACTTGATAAAATAAACAACAACAATTGAAACGATTGCGTGATAATTTCGGAATTTACCTTTCATCTCACCCGTTCGCTGTGGGAAAGTTAACATCCAACTGTTGGTACATCAAGCACCTATTGTTTAGAGAACATATTTGCCCAGCCACAATGTTAACGTTCAACATTTATTGATGTATTAGTGGAACCACTTATAAATATGATCATCTGATTTAAAAAAAAAACTACGCGAAAGCTATGTATTGATATAAATTAACGTTTGAAGCTCACTATTACTCGTCACACAATTTTTATTTAGATTTAGTTTGGATTAGTAAGAGTCAACACTGAACCCCTAGCACTAGGAAGTTACCTGTGGATCATATTTAACCCTTTTCATATCTAATGAATCATTTAAGAACATTTTTATTATATATATCTACAACCATTGTCTATTTCGGAGATAGGGAAACTGTTAAACGAGGAGATAAACAATGCAATACACAAATTTTCATAATTTCTACTGTCAACTCGAAGTCCTTCCATATATCTTCATATACTTGTTAGTTGAGGACTGTAACTCACTAAATTCTGAGTATCAGCAAAATATACAAATGCTCTCTCTCTCTATCTCTAAATCACCTACCATCAGGTGAACCGTATGCTCGTTTGCACCCTCTCCTATAAAAAAGATTGGCGATAATAAGGTTTTAGGTGATATGGTAATGCTCTCAGAGAATACTAACGTAAATTAAGACGGGAGACAGTACAGTACAGACATTAGACCTCAGGATGATCCACCTATATTTTGATATGTAATCGAGGATAGTTCTCGGTCTATGGGCCACAGCATTAGTTTACTATTAGGTGAACTGATACTCTGTCGCCGAGTAGTGACGGCAAGAGAGTCCACCAGCACACACCATCTCGTGGGTGTCGTAAGAGCCCACAGAGAGAAGCAAACTAGGTGATGGGTGCAGCATTTTCCTAATAACTTAAAATTAAAAAGTGTGCTTGCTGACCCGTTTGCCAAGCGTGGCGACTGTGGTAAATATCCCTCCCGTGAGTCTATCTATGGGGGGGGAGCACTTCAGCTGTTGACTTTTGGTAGGCTGTACAAGTGATTGAATAAACAAGTAAATTGTTTGCTGGTTAGTCACCGATGTACATTTAAAGGAACAACGCCGAAATCTTTGTCCATTGCAGCTTCTTTAGTTATGAAAAATTAGCTTTAACAGTAGTGTCTTCAACGTCTTAACCTATTTTACCTTCGTCATATAAATTACTACTATTTAAAATTAACAATGACGATCTAAGATGCATTTTATCGTGGTTTAAATGAGACGAATGAATACTTTTTGGCATTGACCTTACGTCATGATTTCGAGCTGTGATTTCGAGGTAATTATCATTCAAGGTCCCTCGATACTTAGCTAGGAGCCTCGCTGACTCACCACTCGTCACGCTCACGGCCGTGTTTACCGCGACCACGTTGTACTTATGATCTCAGATCTGGCGACGAAGTTTCAACATCATTGCAAGCCTTTTGTAGCTTTATCCGACTCATACTCGTCGCCTCGTCGCACCGTTACGTAAAATACGACGCAGTAGACACTGAGCGCGCAAGTCAATATTGATAAGAATGCACCAAGTTACTTCTTGGTACCTATATTTTGTGTTACAAGGATACAGATCGAAGCGACAAACTAATGAACCCCAACTGATGTAAGTGATCTCTATCATTTGCTACATGTTACATGCCATCGGGTAACTAACTCAATGGAATTTAGTATGGTGGTGATTTTTAACAGAGCTTTATATTTACGCAACGCATTGCCCCACTAACAGCATCATTGCCAGTATCTCAATGTTACTAATACTAATGTGGCGCTAATGTCACCACGGTTCGGAGGCGCACTCATGGGGTCGCTGGCTCGCTGGGGATTGCGAGATGGGGGGAGTGAGGGGGGTGAGGGGGGAGGGGGTGGCGCATGCGCGAAGCACGCAGTGCGGGCGAACGGAGTGCGGGGCTGCGCCGCGGCCCAGTATCGACGCGTTAGTCGGGTGCGGCGCGTGTATGTTTGCCGCCTACAGCCGTGTATTACGTAAAGTGTCACCATGCCGGACTCCGGACCCTCGTTGTGCAGCGTCCTCGACCCCCGTGAGTGTCCCGCGCCAGCTTCGCTTGACCCGCTTGACCCTCTGTCGCGACTAACCCGCTAACACGCAGCCTTCTCTTGCAGATGCTTGGTTCGACCCGCAGAGGCTGCACCCAGAAGGTGAGTGGTGGTGGAGTGGAGGGTGGGCAGCGATCGATGGCGCGGCTCGGTGCGGGCTCCGCGCACGCACGCGCCATCTTGCCCCCGCCGCCTACAACCTTGACATCTTGTCGCTTCTTGTGCCACTAATCCAACTCGTTCGCTCGCACTCTTCACTCTTCACTAAAAACTTTTACTACGATCATTCGTCATATTCGATTGCGATTAAATCGTAAGTTAAAGTAAATAACTAGTAGCAGTTGCCAGAACCACATATCACTAGATAAGGCGATTCATCTTAGCTCTCAAGGGTGACAATTCATATCCATTTTAAGATAGATGTAGATGTCTGTGAGCTGCACATCATGTGGAGTGCGAGCTCGTCTGTCACACACATTGTATAAAATAACAACACCATCATCGTTCATATCCCCAGAAGTACGCGAACACATTGATTTGTAATTTTCCGTTTACATTAGCATTTTTGTGACCGTAGTTCTGTCGATATACAAGTGAATATTTTATTCCTCGCCGGCGGGTAGCGCAGGTCGACTCTGCCAAGCTGGATTTAGATCTATTGAAGCGGGCAGCCGCGACACGCGCCGCCTTTCATCTCGCACGCACCACCGACTTGTCTCCTGTAAGACGCACCTATCACCCGTTGTCTGTGGTTGCCAAAACTGCATTGCGTTACCCTTACAGGTAACCTAGATCATTAATGCATATCACTAAGTATCGACCACTTTTAGATTTTCCAACTTTGGTATTCTAGATAATGTTAAATCAATTAATTAAATCAAAGTTCGTTTTTAATTACTAAGGACCCTTTTCACCAGACACGATGCAATCAATCTTAGTCCTAAGGGGTGATAACACGTCTGCATTTTGATTCTTAATCAAGGTTAAATGGACATGTCTCTGGGCCACCGCATCCACTTACCATTACGTAGATTATGTGCTCTTTTTCACCCTTATTTAAAGAAAAACAACTTTTTTGAAATTCAACTTTCAAAATCAATTAGTATATTAATTTGCATCACTTGCGAGTGCTTAGTATCTATACTCTCTAATGTAATTATAATTAAACGTCAGCGTAGGCAACAGATCAACGCAGCAGGTCGAACCAATGATCAGTCATCATGGCTCACTAATTGTATAGAAGGTTGCATTATTTTCTGCTCCGTAAGAAATTCGATACACCTAGGTTGTTTTAATTCCTGTTGCTTGGGGATAAAGCTCACAATCGTGTAGCTGCAGAACGGGTACTGTGATTTTACTTGACGCAACACTAACTTCATTGTGTTCCTTTGACTTGTAACTTTAGATTCGAGGACGTTACAGCTCAAATTTCACGTAAAAACGAGTAGACTGTCAATATCATTCAGAAATACTTGATAGTTAACATCAGAAGTATAAAAAATGGCATTCGTTTCAAGTGTCAAATATGGAAAAATTGACTTGATAAGATTGCAGGAAAAGGTGTGTTTTACTTTTTTGAACAGCACCTCTCACTCACATTGGTGTCGTCTGCTGCTGCATCGCTGCGATCAAATCAAACAAATTTCTTGTGAAACACAGGTTACTATTGGTGATACAACGAATACTACTTTTACGAATACCACTTTTAGATTTTCCAACTACGAATACGAATACGAACTACTGAATACGAATATCAAATCTAATATTCGGCGAATACGAATATCTCGCCATGGTAATGAAAAACTAATTTATTTGATGATTTTATATTGTTTTTATACAACATGCAAATTATTATTTAAAAAACCGATAAATTTGTAGAGTTGTTGGTTTTAGGCGATTTCTTTTTTCAGTCTGGATGTTTCCAGCCGTTGAGTCTTTCCGAGGCGACTGTACATGGTTTCAGTAAAAATATTGTTGGGCGAGTTTTTTCAGCCTTGGAAAATGGACATCTTCTCGCCAAATAAAAGGCCAATGGATCAGAGGCAAGATTTAAGACTTCGTATTATTGGGATTGCTTGCTATAATGTCTTTGATTCTTTGTTAACCCTTTAGTAGCTTCATCAATAATTTGGCTCATAAGAGCCTATTGCCCTGCTGTGATCATGACGACAATTTGGTAGAGATGGTAAAACATTTTGAATCGCTATGCGTTGTTCATGTAATCTCTTCAAGATCTGATATGTTGAGTCCCATCTAGTTTCAACATCTTGAAACGAAACATGTTTCGGTATACTTGTTGAAAATCTACTATTCGGCAAACACGAATATTCGTATTCGTATTCGTTGCATCACTACAATAGATACCGTATCCTTTCCAGTTCAGTAGCTTCAAAACTTCTTTCAATGGATCGGTGAAGTTTTTCAAAATCAGCTTTTCAGAAGGCCACTGCTGAACATAGGCCTCCCCTCCAGATTGTATCGTAGGGGAGATATCTGCCACAGTTGCCACGCTTACCACGCTTGGCAGGCGGATGTTTTTATTCATTACCATTATAATTTCTTTGTTCATAAGTAGTCATATCTGTTTATACATGTAATATATATAATCAATTTACTGTTATCCAAACCTTACAAAAATAACAGATTATTAACGAAAACATCTCAGAATAGTTTTATGGTAGTTATTGATATTTCATGATGATGACAGTCATCCAGAATGTTGAAAGTGTCGATATTGTAATGTTAGGATGGAGCTGACAGTTTTATCTGCTGGCACTGAGTAAATAATATCTAGCGTACTAACCGTAAGTAACGACTGCAGCCCGCGGACATCTAATTCAGTCATATATAGGTGCGTGTAGTGTAGTGTATGCCTCGTTTCCAGTAAAAAGGGTCTCAGATTCTCTACACTTACCATACGAAACACAGCAGCAATTTTAGCTGCAATTTTAAGCTGTTCCCTACAGTGAGGTGTATGTAGACGTTTGCTTTTTTATCATATTTCAGTACTTCTTTTTAGATTATATTTGCACAAAAGGAACAAATACATTGTAATATTCATAAAATAATACACTTAAATAAAGTGTGAGTAAATTTCATAGGTACATAGTATCTTTCTATATTTCGAGTTCGTGTAAATATTTTATCAGTAGTTTCACAACTTTTTAAACTGATAAATATTTTTACACAAGATACAATAATACGCCAGAAAATCTAAAACTTTAAAATTGTCGTCAGTCTCAGTCTGTTTCGGCGAACAATTTTATTTATTTAGTAGGTACACGCAATACATATTACAATCTAACAAACAGCCATAACTAAGCGCCAAAAGTAATTGATAAAACTAATTTTGCGGATTTCATCGCGATCAGTCTAATTATTTTTTATCTTACGTTTCGGGTGCTTTGCACCTATAGTCGTGCAGAAACTGAAGTTTTGAGGTGTCAAAGCGAACACAAGTTACAAGTTATAATACATTTTTGTGAGATTCGTCCTATAACATGGATGCATCATATGTATATATTACAACAATACTCGACAACAAGTCCAAACGTTAAAACAATAATTAAAAAAACCCGACTGCGTAAAGTTTTACTGAAAAGAGAAAAGTTTTTATATCCTGTGGCACTTTTACAACGCAGACAGTTCTAACGACCCCCCCCCCCTCATGTTAAGATACATCAAGCTATGTAGGCTGCAGAGCGTGCCAAAGAAATAGTAATACATATTACATACACACACAGGAAGAACATCATACTCCTTCTAGGGTAGTCGCGTAATAACATCAACGATTTTTACTACAATTTAATTTAAAAGAAATCAACATTTTTTTTTGAGATACGTCTTTCAAGTCAATCAAGTCTTTAGGCTAACGATCATTTTGTATACTAACAACGTAAAGGAGTCCGATTTGAAATTTAAAATTCTTAAATCATAATATAAGTAAAATTTTATTTTTCACCAAAACCTACTCTTTTGTTTTACTCATATAGGCTGCAGGATCAAATTTTAAAGCAATTTAATTAAATACAAATTCTCACGCCTGACTACTAAAAGAGATCATAATGTTCATGTTCGTTTACTTCCGTCCATAAGAACATTGTTTGTTTCATATGAGTACACTGTCATTGCGCAATTATATCGAGTTACTGTGCCTCATTGGACGACTAAATATTATATCTTATTTGTAATATAGCACAATGACTTGTGAGATATCGATATATATATAAAAAAATATATCGGTATCTTTGATATTTGAGATACAGACTGATTAATCAGTTATTTTCAGTAACAACCACTTTCTTTATAGTTTTACAAGGTATTCCTGTATCCCAGTTTAAACATATATTACTTACCATCACGCGAGCCGCATTCTCGTGTGCCTATCTTATATAAAAAAACCTCTATTCCAGTTGTCTTCCTAGCGATATCTTTATTCATTAGAACGTGTGAAGTTATGTTTGATATCGTTATCAATGAATCTACATCGTTGACTGTATCAGAGATAATACGATATATTTCGTAAAGCCTGCCATTTTTTTTACTCAAAAAATACTTAATATATATGTATAGTTTTTAAAAATAACAATAATTGCTGAAAATCATGGTAATGTGAATTGTTAGCAAGAGAATTGCGACAAAACTTCAAAATATATTTGTTTCAGTGCAAAATATTATGTACCATGACGCAATTACTTTGTGTTTTGTATCTGTGATGTTTCAAGGCCCTGTCGGCAAATTTATTTTGAATAAAGTGCTTGTCACAGATTTTATATATATGATATTTAAAATCAGGTATCACATCTCAGTCATCAGGGGTGACAACACATCTGCATTTTAATTCTTAAGCGAGGATAGGTGTAAATGTCTATGCCCCACTGAATCCACTTACCGTCGGGTAGATGAGTTCGTTGTAACTCATATTCTTTAAAAAAAGTACTTATTACAGATTTATAAACTGCTTATCATCGGAGTTGTATCACCAAGCAGAATATTACTGAAAATGTTCGATATAATTGACAGAACAACAAAGTGGGATGGGTACAAATCCCGTAACGTTTACAATAATTATTAGTGTAGCTGGCCTAGTGGTCGGAAGCGCGATTGCGGTGCATTAGCTCCGGATTCAAATCTGGGGTCGGACCAAAATAGTCAGTTATTCAATTTTTCCTACAAGAAA